AATTTGCCTCGTAATGGTATTTCTCAAGATTGGAGTATGCGTGTCACGTTATTTGCCATCACGGTAAATGGTTTGACTGATATTGGCGATCGTTTAAGCCATGACGACGATCTCTGTAGTATTCTTGCGGTAAAACATTCGCGTTTATCGATTTAGTCTACCTGTATGATCATACTTCGCCCAAACATGATCTATTAATGACCGATTAAAAAGTTATGAATTTATGTAATAATTATTACAAAATATGTGTGGTGATTAGTGACCGTTAATCGATAATTATTCAGAAATCGTAAGATGCGGTCTGGTAAGATGTAGGTTTCAGAAAAAAATTTTCTTTATCGTGCCAACGTTTCGATCTTTATTGAGATCATCTTCAGGGCCTGGGATTTACAAACATTGTTTAAAGTTACTAATTCACTATTTTCGATGTCCGCTTGACCAATTAATACAAGGCAATTAATTAAGGTTTTTAGTTGAGATGAAAAAAAGCTAATGGCGCGAGAGGGATTCGAACCCACGATCTTCGGCTAGATACGCCGCTGCTCTACCACCTGAGCTATCGTGACCTCGATCCAATCGGACATCAACTCCCCATCTCAACCCCACCTTATGAGTTTTCCCTCCTTTTGCCATTTTTCAATCCAAATCCAAAAAGAATCCAAACCGATTACACGACATTTGAAAAATGGCAAAAAGGAGGGAAAACTCATAAGGTGGGGTTGAGATGGGGAGTTGATGTCCGAGTGGATCAAGGTCACGATAGCTCAGGTGGAAGAGCAGCGGCGTATCTAGCCGAAGATCGTGGGTTCGAATCCCTCTCGTGCCATTAGCTTTTTTTCATCTCAACTAAAAACCTTAATTAATTGTATTGTTTAAAGTTAACAAATACATGTAGGATGTGGAAAAAAGTGAATTTATACAATGCAAAAAATATATTTTTTATAATCATCGACTCAAATCAAAGTATTTCTACTCACTCAAAGTGTTTGTTTTCTGTGTAATTGTGCCATATTTTTTCACATCCTACATGTATTTGTTAAATTTAAACAATGTTTGTAAATCCCAGGCCCTGAAGATGATCTCAATAAAGATCGAAACGTTGGCCCGATTTTTCTGATGCCTACGTCACACCAGACCGCATCTTACGATTTCTGAATAATTACAAAATATTATGCGTTGTACTGATATTAATGGCGGAAAGACAAGTATCGCTGATATCTTGTCTGTTGTCCTTTTGGTTACCATCGGACGATTGATACCTGGCCCCATTTTATAAAAAATCATGGGACAGTCGTTTCACATAAAATAAACTCAACGTATATTGATAAATGGTGTCCTGAAAAGAACAAAAAAGCATATATTTGATTAAACGCGATTTAAAATTGATAACTAGTAGACAGGTCTATATATATTTACAAGTAAGTGATATGATTTACTAAACGATAGAAAATTCATGATTTTTATCAATATTTATCTAAATTAAGCAGAATTTAATTAAGGTGTAACAAGAATTCATATGCGCTCCAAAATTGTTGTTAATCATTGTAAAGCTTATTTACCCTCTTGAAAGCTCAGTATTTATTTCAAGTACTAATGAGAAGCAGTAATGTTTGCTAGGTGTCGGGACAATGACGAAGGATCAGAACTATTAAAAGTTGCTCCGTGCAAAGTCAGATATTTATCACCGGGTGTTAACAAACAACAAAAGTTCAAAAATGACAAACACACGAGAAAACGAAAGAGACATGACGCAAGTCAATTTGTTAAACTTTTTGTAGCGCGCTTAAATTGTAAGACTTTAACACTAGAGTGGAACAACTTTTAGTAAATTTTGACTATTCATCACTTCCTCTAAGGCCTTTCGCATAATAGATACTTTTTACGCCAAAGTTTTTGAAATGAGCTGGGATCATGAACGCCTCATACTTTTCGGCGTTTCAATTAGATTCTGTTCCTTTATCATCGCGGAATCCCGATGCAATTTCGTCTTTCGCGAGCCTGGCGTTATTTAATTAAAAACTTGTTTCGATTCTTATTAGAGTACTTAGTTTCCAACTGGAACTTGGACTTAACCAACCATTGAATTCCATAACTCATCCCCGTTCCTCAAGTCGTGAAACTTCTATATTTAACGTAATGTATAAAAGGATGAAGTGCTTTTCACGAACCCTCTAGAGGTAAGGAATATAAAAGAAAATCAGTCATTAATTCAAAGCACATCGTTAGTTTTTAACAGAAAACTTTTTATATTTAGTTAGATAGGCAAATAGATATATAGATAGATAGAGAGAGTGAAAGTGTGAGAAAGAGAGAGAGGAAGAGAGAGAAAAAAAGAGAGAGACAGAGATGTTAATGAATAATTTATTATTATTATTTAAATTAATCAAAGTTTTTAGTTGAGATAAAAACGTCAGTGTCACGAGCGGGATTTGAACCCACGATCTTCGGCTAGATACGCCGTTGCTTTACCACTTGAGCTATCTTGACTTCGATCCACTCGGACACTAACTTCCCATCTCAACCCCACCTTTTGAATTTTCCCTCCTTTTTGCCATTTTTCAAATTTCGTGTAATCTATTTGATTCTCGGCGACAAATGAAATGGCCACGGAAAAAATGTCGCCGAGTATCCAATCCGATCTAAAAGGAGGGAACATTCAAAAAGTGGGGTTGAGATGGGAAGTTAGTGTCCGAGTGGTCACGATAGCTCAATTGGTAGAGCAGCGGCGTTTCTAGCCGAAGATCGTGGGTTCGAATCCCGCTGGTGACACTGACTTTTTTATGTCAACTAAAAAGCTTGATCAATTGAAAGATATTAATTGGTCAATCGGACCTCGAAACTAGGGAATTATTATTATTATTATTATTGAAGTTTTCAAACTAGACTGGACTTTACGCAAACTTTATCTACAAAAAGTCAGTCAAAAATGGAAATAATTGGTTTTGTAATGTAACATAGGTTGTCTACCGAGTGTTAAAAGGGTTTTTCCATCGGCCAATATTATCACAGCCTGCTTACATAAAAAACGCACCATAACGCCTTTTTTTAAATAAACAAACCCCCTTAAAAGGTAATATTTGTATCGACTATAATAAGAAGGAAACAGTACCACAATAGAATGGAGGGCCACTAGAGGAAAAAACCCCGTGAGCATTGTATTCATTAGTAAAAATCGGATCGATAGTCCGTTAAAAAAAAAGTAGTTCGGCCAAGGAGCAAAAAAGAAGCAAAATGTTTACATTGTTGTATTCTAAACTTCTTATCTGCATGGAAGGAAATAAGTCAAAATAACATTCGAAGGGTAGTGGCATGGTGTATTGAGCACCGATCGCTTTTCATACACGAATAGACACCAAAAGTATGTTGAAGAGAGACTCTATTTAAACATCAACCTTCCTTTTTAGTCTAAAGTCTTGAAGAAAACAATCAAACTGAAATATTAATGCGTTGTAATGTGTATTTTTAACATAAAAATAAAAGAAAAAAATAAATTGGCAAAATTTTATTTAATTGATAATCATTTACAAAATGAATTATCACATGTATATCATTCAAATATTATAGATTATTGCAGTTTATACTTTTTACTACAATATTGACGATTAATTAAATATCATGTTAACCTACTCTAGCACACTGCTTTATCGTTATTAAGGTGGTTTGCAACATCAAAACGTAAACGATTATTGTTTTGCAAACGATACAATTTACTGGCATACTAATTATATAATGTAATAATTAAATTCACTAGTTTTCGTGGTCCGCTTGACCAATTAATATTTTTCAATTAAGTTTTTTAGTTGAGATAAAAAAGTCAGTGTCACGAGCGGCATTCGAACCCACGACCTTCGGCTAGATACGCCGCTACTCTACCACCTGAGCTAGCTTGACTTCGATCCACTCGGACACTAACTTCCCATCGCAACCCCCCCGTTTGAATTTTCCCTCTTTTTTGCCATTTTTCAAATGTCGTGTAATCTATTTGTTTCTGGGCTATAATTGAAATGAAGCTCTCCGTGGCCATAGCTCAGGTGGTAGAGTAGCGGCGTATCTAGCCGAAGGTCGTGAGTTCGAATCCCGCTCGTGACATTGACTTTTTTATCTCAAAGATAGTGCTCGATTCAAATTTTTTCTTACTTTGCCAAAATAACTGTTGTTCTTTTCCTCCAAATTTATAACATATTGTTCAATTAGTCCCCTTATTTCCTTAAAGTTTAACTATTGTTGTTACTGAACATTTTGGTTCGTCTATCCTGGTTTTTTACCCTGCTTCGAATTTTTGCCGTTGTTTTGGTAAAACTTAAACGTACCTTGGCCCTTAATTGTGAAAATAAACAAAGGACATACAAGCAGAACCATCCCTGAAGCCGGCGTAACGCATTAACACGCCTGATAAACCAAAATCTAGGATGGACAAGTCCTCAACAAGAAGTACAAGTGCTATTATGTCATTATGTAGGTTTTGTGTCGCGCATAGCAAAAGTTGTAACAGCACTTTCTTTTTTGTTTAATCTGTACAACAAGTCAAAAATACATATGGTATAATTTATATATGTTATACTTATCAAGGAAACGTCAAATTACTAAAATAGCTATCAGAATAAAACACACCAGTGATGGTGTTAATCTTGATCAAATTTTTCTTAAATTGATGTCCTGTGTCGTTTTAAACACCATCGAGGTGTTGGTCAACTCGAGAAAATATCAAGTTTGGAAAAATAAGAAAACGCCATTTCACACGATCCCTTCTGAGGTACTTGACGTACTTCGGCAAAACTGGGTGCAAACACTCACAAGCCTTTTAAAGGGGATGAGTGCAAATGGAACGGACGTGAACAGATTCGCAGCCAGATGTTTACAGGGGAAACATGTTATTTAAAAAAAAATCTCATTGGAATTAAATAGTCCTGGAATGACGAAGTCTGTAATGTAGATTTATCTAACTTACTCTCACCCCTTCAAATTTGTTTAGACAATAAAGGTTTACGTTTAGGACTAACCTTGAGTTGGATCTTTTACTGCTGTCCTTCTTGCCAGCTTGTAAATTCGGCAGGTCCTTTTGCCGTTTTTTCGTCTCCCTCCAGATCCTGTAGTATAGGAAGCACATGACCGTGACGGGGACGTAGAAGGCGGCTATCGCCGTGCCGAAGGTGATGTAATGGTTCGTTTCAATAAATTGTATGTAGCATTCCGTGTCAGGCACTGTCCTCTTCCCTTCGATGTAGGGCCACGAGTAGATCCAAGGGGGCCAGAGAATTAAAGAAAGCCCCCACGCCGAAGCTGGAAAACAAAACAAAACACGTTTAACATGGGTCATTACATCAAATACCGACTACTAGACACCTCGGATATTTTTTTATTTGGAAGATTTGCTTGTAATATTTTAAGTACTAAAGATCTTATTGTACGTATTTTTCATTTGTGAAAACAAATTTAATTAAAATAAACATTTTTTTCACACTAAGAAGCACAAACAATAGCTACTCATGTGAGATAGAAAATTGATCCCTTAAGCGCCTATGATAAATCGCTATAACAAATTTAGATTAGCTAAGAAACACCGGTTCATTTTAAAATCGTTAAAAAGAAGAAATTAAAAAAAATTATATTTGTGATAGTCATAAAGGATAAACAGCTTCTTCTGTATAATAACGCTGTTCGGTAGTAATTATGAATCACTTTCTATTCTTCATCCTTTCACCTTCAAGATCGTACTTTGTAATTTAAGGTATAATATAATAGAATAATTGTGTGAGATGGTATAGGGGAGAGAGAATGAATAAATGCGTTTTTTATTTAATGTCCCAGAATTTCTTCTAATACTGACCACTCTTACATTCAACGACATAATTTTGTACAGTTTATATTGTACAGTAAACAGGGTATCATTTTTAGATGCCCAGCTAAATTTCTCTTCAAACAAAAATGACGTTTAATATTTTTAGACTAGTTTCAAATTTTTACCTTTTTTGGAGCAAAATTATACAGGGTACCTGAGACCTAGTTCTACTACAAAATTTCAAATACGACACGATTTTAAAGGAATTTTTTACGCTGAAAGCAATGGTGCAATCGGATTTTAAATTGGTCATAAAATGACAACGTTATGGCAAAAAGAAACCGGCAGCGTAATTTTGACGAGGAGCCGAATATTTTACTGTACGTTCTCGAAAATCCGAATTTCTCTCTCCGAAATGCCGGAAAGATTTTCGGTTTTTCAATAAATAAAATGAGAGATGTACTTTGGATTTACAATTTTAAACCGTATCGCTCTCGTCTTGTGACTTGTCCAGGGATTTCGGGATTGTGATTATGACAGATGTCTGTCGTTCTTTGCTCAACTGTCATTAGAGAAAGAGAGAGAGTGAGAGAGAAAGAGTGTGAGGGAGAGAGAGAGTGAGGGAGAGAGAGAAAGGGAGGAGAGAGAGAAAGGGAGGGGAGAGAGAAAGGGAGGAGAGAGAGAGAAAGCGAAAGAGAAAGAGAGATAGTGAGAGAGAACTATTATATTCAATCGACTTCTTCAGTAGTGACTATTAGACCCAGCAGCAATTGAACCATGAAAACGAATAAATGGAAACAGAAAGAACGAGGTCGTGTATATACACCGAATGGGTTGGTTAAAATAAACAAATCGGCATTGTGTTTACATCCTGCAAAATCTTATTTGCAAAAATAGACAGCGAAAGAGATATATAGATAGATAGAGATAGAGATAAAGATAGAGATAGATAGATAGATAGATAGATAGATAGAAAGATAGAGAGAGAGAGAGAAAAAAAGAGAGGGGGAGAAAAAGAGGGAGAGAGAAAGAGAGAGAGAGAGAGAGAAAGTGAAAGAGAAAGATAGAGAGTGAGAGTGAGAAAGAGAGAGAGAGAGAAAGAGAAGAGAGAGAGAATGAGAGAGAGAGAAAGGGAAGATAGAGAGAGAGTGAGAGTGAGTGATATATATATATATATATATAGAGAGAGAGAGAGAGAGACAGAGTGAGAGAGTGAGGGGAGAGAAAGGGGAGGGAGAGAGATTGCGAGAAGAAGAGTGAGAGCGAGGTGGAAAGCTTGACTTTGTGTGTTGTTTTGTGTACTTGGTTATTACAAGATCCCCCAACGTACCAAAATAGGTAAGGTATCTGCAGGTAATAGGATGTATGTTTAAAATAAACATAATTATTATTTTATGGTAATATACCAACGTAATACGTGAATAAGTAAGAACAAAGAAGAAACAAGGTTGAAGAAGAAGAAGTGTGAAAGAAAAGGAAGAGCTAAGAAACCAACTGTAATATTCTGAGTTTAATTGTTTGATTAGTTATCATTTTTCAATTTTCATGCAGATAAGGTTCAGAAGAAAAATTAGTATCACGAGCGAGGCTCGAACCCACGACCCCAGTGCTCAACTACTATCGTCACTTTGGTCCACGAAACACCAATTACTCCTCTATTACTATTGAAATTGTCCCCTTTTACTGAGTTTAATGACCTCCCCATTATTTGTTTAAGGAGGTACAAACCTTTATTTCAACCCACACACGCGAGGTAGAAGAAAAATGAATACTTTTTATAGCCCCTGGTAACAAAACCTTTGAATATTTTGGAATTCAAGGTTGAAAAGTGATAGATAGTGAGAGACGAAAAACAGCGAAATGGAACATCGCACTAAGTTGGAAGACAGGACATAAAATAACATATATTGATGTTTTTTTATCAATAAAAGTTTTACAAATATTTTTTATAGAATTGCGAAAATTATGTTAAGAAAACAACTAAGTCGTCCTTTTTGTGTATTCAGCTGCTCCAACTTGCAGATACGATGACAGTTCTATTAGTTAATTGGATAAGAAACTTATGGTTTAATAACGTATTGAATTATGAAAGGACGATCGAATTACGGTGAACATCTAACCCAATAACGGCACGAATACAATAATGCATTATTGCGTTGTACGCCTATATCTACAAGAAAGCATACCAGACGGTTCGTCACAGATAAATAAATACTGTATATTAAATTTTAAAAAAAAAGATTCGTTTTACACGAAAGTCTACAAAACCTTAGAAGAAGTGAAGAATTTAATAACAAAAGGGATGAATCCAGCCTTAATATCATGAAATACATGCGACAAAGATAGCGACGACGTTAAATACCAGTCCGAGACGGGTTTTATATCCGAGAAACCGTATAAATGGACCCACATTACAAACCCTACTGAATTCTTCTGAAGACGGCCGATACTCAGCAAAAATACCAACTCGAGAGTATAAAAACATTAACAAACAGACAGTGCATTATTGCCGTTTACAAAAGCAACAATTTATAGAAAAAAAAAATATCTGACAATAGATTATATAGCATTTACGAGTTTATTGACAATAGATGCAAGTATTATTTGTAAAATACATCTCACCTATTAATTTACGCATATTATTAAAGGGACTCATTTTTAATCAACGTAAATTGGATGGAGGATGACGTACTGCTATCGTTTTGCTGACCGATTTTATATACATTGTCATCAAAATCGGTCAACAAAACGCACCAATTTACTTTAGATTTGTTAACACAGTATTTTTTTTTAATCGTCAGAAGTGTCAGTTTTTATAATCAATATAACGATTAGAGAAATAGTGGAACTGATTGCTCTGAAGTTCTCTTTCACTTTATCTTTCCACTCCGGCGGATTAAAATGCTACAAGCAGCTCCTCTCTTTTTTCAAACTATCACTGACACGATAACTGAATAATTTACAGTTTTGAAGTATGCGCATTGAAGAAACAAATGTCTGAAATTAATCGTGAAGTATCTGGCGTAAGAATGAACTAATTAAAACCGATAATATAAAGTGTGAAACATAATACTGGGTGGAATGGAATACAAGGTTATAGGATTTCTTAGACAAAAGTGTGGTTTGGATCGGAGTGGATGATTCGATACAAAAAAGAGAAGTAATTTACGAAAAATCTATAGATGTTGGGACTGGATTCTTTCAGAATCACATTGAATGAATATCGGAGTGTAAAGTACCAGAGGTATAGTGATACGATTTTTCCATTTAATAAGTAAAATACATAGACATTAAATAGATATGACGTATAAATAGATTTTTCGTTGGATAAACTTAAAAACCTGTTGCGAGAGCAAGACAAAATATATACAGGGTGACCCAGTTCTTTCTGACGAAACTCAGGGAATCGATTCTACTCTTCGTTGGAGAAAAAAATGCTCAGGAGAAAATTTTGGGAAAGTTCTCTATTTTGAAGATATTCGTCAAGTTAGGTTTTTTCAACTTTTCACTGCCTTACCACATAAAAACCACAACTTCCAAAATGTTGAGACTACAAATCCAATTACACCATTTGAAAAAACTCTAAATGTGCTGTAAGATACTTCTCTGCAATAATCTGAATGACATAAAATGTTAGCCAATATCAGTTGGAACATGTCAAAATTACAAAATTTAAAATTTTGGTCATGATTGCACGTTCTACTGAGGTTACAATTTACCTTAGATCACGTTTTCGAATATTCAATTGTTATTTTTCAACTCTATTAGAACGTTATTCAAAAAACCTGGATATATCAACATAAAGCATATTAGATGAACAAGTGTTAGTAAAATTTGACAAGTTGTAGGTATTTTTTTGTAACCTCAGTGGAACGTGCAATCATGACCAAAATTTTAAATTTTGTANTCCGACTGCTAGGTAATTTCAGCACCGAGCGGAAGTAAAATACAGCAACATACACTCAATGCTATCACACTTCATGCCCTGAAGATGACTCTAATAAAGATCGAAACGTCGATAAAAAATGGAAAAGGTTTTTTTCTAAATACTTTATTCTTGACCGCTTCTCACGAATCCAACAAATTATTTGTGGTAAATGTTTTTTAGAGTTTACCCATTCTCCTAATATTTATGCCGATAGTGTAGTTGCTGCAAACTAAGTCTTTAAATTTCAGGTTTTTTCGTTAAATTTGCTCTAAGAGTATTTGATCTAAACAAAATTATAGTAAATCGTTTCGTTGAATTACGTTAAGGTTTCTATTTAATATGTATTTTGAATAATGGTTTATTAACACCTTATTTATTATAATACACAACTAGTTCTGACGCTGACCTATCGTTGAAACTATAACATATTACAAAAAAAAATTTAAATACGAAATGTACTTTCTATTGCTTTTTTCAAAAAATGGCAATACTACATATTTTACATTTAAACATTTTTTCGTTATTTTCTATAAAAAATGTTTAACTATTCAATACTTAAAACTATTATAAAAT